TATTCTAAATAAATATCCGAATATAATTATATTATATTTATGATAGGGGGTGGTGTGTGAGTGGGGTGGGTGTGTGTAAATTATCTTTGGAACAATACATAACATTAATGTAATAAGATCCCTATTGATTAAGGTTTAACTCAAGTCCCTATTCTTCAAGGATATTCAGCCCCCTACTATTTTGGAGCACAATTAGTTCCCTATGATTCACAGATATGTTACATGTAACTTAATCGTAACTATTATCAATATGGGAATAATAAAAATGATTGCGCAAATATATATGGTCACAAATACACATACCGAAAGAACACATCTCAGGTCATGCATAAAATCTTATTTAAGGTAAGTTTTACTCCTTATCATTAGTCTTGACAAAAGATATTTCTCCCCAACTAATATGTTAGCTTTGGTCGTGACCAACGTCAACCCAGAGTATGAGCTTCCCAGCAGAAAATACATTAGGTCTACTTTTCAGAGTGCAAACTTGCCCCAGATAGGTTTGACTAGAAATGGTTGCTCGTGTGACTCTACCTCCCAAAAGGTGGAGTCCTTTGTCAGAACTTTGGTCCTTACAAGCAACATTATAGCTGATAAAGTTTTGTTGTCTTCTCCATATTATATTCTTAGTCGGATTGAAAGCAACATCCTTCAATTGATTTAAAAGTCTTTTCCACATACTCGACGCTCTTGTGTATGACAAGGGAAGAAAGTATGTACTGATTAGCACAACTGACGAGTATTGACTGTATAGATAGAAAGGCTGTGTAAGAAAAAAAAACTGTACATAGTTGACGAACCTAAATACCAGGACACTCTAAACAGTCACAAATAAACCTAACTATCTCCATAGCATCTTCAGTACAAGCACTCCATTTTTTCATTAAGAGAAGAAAAAATACTTAGCCAGACATATAGCATGTATCTTGGAGGTAAGAAACTTTAAACGGAAAGGCCGCACAATGCTCTCATTTATCTTCTTGAGCATTTTCAAGTAGTATACATATTGATCAAGCCTATCTCTACCACTTCCTTCACTAAATTTAGATATAAACTTAAGGTGTCCAAAAATCCCACCTTAAGTTTTTAAGGGGGGAAGATAACACATCACAAGATTAATCGACTCTGTTTTATTAGTTATTCTTCTTTCTCTGGGTTTTCCTATATAATTACATTTTTCCTTATCTTTTGTAATACAGATTATTGGCATTCAATATAGATTTCTCTCTTCTCTTTTCTCTGTTTCTTCCTTGCTTACAAGCATATAAAATTTTTTTAGAAACAATCTCTTTTTCTCTGTTTCATCTTGATTGAGTTGAATCAATTCTCCTATATTTTCCTCCTTAGTTTCATATGCTATGTGGGTCTGTCCTCCCTTTCTTATGTTGTCTCCTTTTTCTCCTCACTCCTTGCCATGGTTTTGGGGAGCCCAATATCTGCTAGGTGACTTTCCAAGAGTCTGGGATTCATTTTCCCCTATTGTAATCCTTGTGTCAATTGAATTTGACATGGAGCAATGAAGGTTGTGACCTAAGATGCTTGGATGCAGAGTCATATGTGGCTCTCAAGATTTGAACACTCTGATACCATCTCAAATATTAAGGTAGAGTTGAATAATTTTATGGCTAAAAGTACATCATATATACATATACATATATACATATATATACATATATATATATATATATATATATATATATATATATATGTGTGTGTGTGTGAGTGTGTGTGTGAGTGTGTGTGTGAAATTAATTTTGGAAATATAATAACACTTAATGTAATAAGATCCCTATGATTCAAGGTTATAATCAAGTCCCTATTCTTCAAGGATATAATCAGCTCCCTACTATTTTGGACACAATTAGTTCCCTATGATTCACAGATATTTACATTGTACACTTTAATCGTAATCTATTAAATATGGAATAATAAAACATGATTGTAGACAATATATATGTTCACAAAAATACATCATAAGTAAAAAACTATCATGTCATGCATAAAATATTAATTTAAGGTAAGTTTTACAATTTATCATTAATTTACAAAAGATATTATCTCCCCAACTAATATGTAGCATTTGGTCGTGCCAAGTCAACCCAGAGTATGAGCTGATCCCAGCAGAAAACTACATTAGGTCTAATTTTCAGAGTGCAAAACTTGCCCAGATAGGTTTTGACTAGAACTGGTTAGGTCGTTAGCAACTCTACCTCCCAAAGGTGGAGTCCTTTGTTCAGAAGTTGGTCCTCTAAAGCAACATTATAGCTGATAAAGTTTTGTTGTCTTCTACCATATTATATTCTTTAGTAGGATCTTGAAGCAACATACCTTCAATTGATTAAAAGTACTTTTCCAATATATACGAGATCCTTCGTATGACAATGGGAAGAAAGTATGTATGATTAGCACAAGAAGAGTTATTGCCTGTATTACATAGAAAAGGCTGTGTAAGAAAAAAAAACTGTACATATAGTTGAGAAATAAATACAAGGACACTTCAACAGCTCCACAAATAAACTAATATCTCCATAGCATCTTACAGTATAAGACACTCCCATTTTTTTCAATAAGAGAAGAAAAAATATTAGAAAGAAAATATAGCATGTACTCTTGGAGGATAAGAAACTTTAAAAGGAAGGGAAAAATGCATGTCAAACCAAATTGGATAAAAGATGTCAAAACTTTTTTGTAACCCACTAATAAAAATCCTATGGAAATAAGCACTACCAAAGGAAAAGGCGACTCTCAGCAGATATGCATAAATAACAAAAGAAAAACAAAAAAGCAACAAAGTGATGTAGGTATACAGTGAAGGGATAGTTTGGAGCCCGCACTTGCTTTATCAATCTAAATTGATAGCTTAACAGTAACACATTCCTAAGAGACATTAAGGAAATAATAGAATCACATAGACAGGTAGTATTAGTTGTTTCACTTTAGTTTCGAAGTGTAGCTGAATAAATAACTTAACTTCAACGTGGGAATGACAAATATTACCTAAGGTAATCACCATTTTCAAAGTGACAACAACTAAAAGGCTCGCTGATTTGCCCAATAAAAGTAACAGTGTCTGAAGTACTGAACTCTTACCTCATAAATAAGACATTCTGCATCAGTTAGATACGGCAATTGACCCAAATAGAAATACTCTCTATCGTTGCAGGAATGTGTGGCGAGTTTTTTACACCACAGAGGTTTCTGTACCAAGTAAAGTACATAATGAAATATCTTCTTTCCATCATATTTTCTTTGGTATGAAAGCCTCAAATACATATAACTGGAACTAGAGTTCATAAGGAGCTTGTCACTGCTTACCTCCAGGAAATTCAGGACTATCAAAGCAAAATAACTAAGAGACCATATGAGATTGCATTTAATGAATACAAAATAAAATCTTGCATAATTTTGGAAGTTTGATGAATCAAGAATTTGTTCAGGGAGACCAACACCATCTTCAGCCTGCATAAAGAATTTCCAACAAGAATAACAAGCAATTAATGACCCGAAAGAAAGTCCATCAATAAATACATATCAATGCAAAGGGGAGGTTAGTAGAAATATATTTTAAAAAAAAAATTATTGGTCGTAGAAGGAGAGTCAAGGCCATTGAGTATTAGAATACTGATCCTAAAACGAGTCAAGGCTACTACACAGGTTGGTAGTAAGGCCCTCTAGTCCTTAGCTTTGACAGAAGACCACCGTTCTGGTATGGTAAAAAATCCGATTTCATGTAGAAAATCAAGATAAAGAGTAGTTTATAAACATTTTCCTCCCTTAATATATTAACATGACACACCTAGCAGTCTTAACCTACTGACTTGACTCACCGAACAAACTTGAAGTTAGAGACCTAGAAAGAGAATTGGTGGTCCTGATTGTTTTATACCGAAATACTAATCAAAATCTTAATATCAGCACAAGAGAAGACTCTAATCCAAAAGATTAACCCATTAGGTAAAAGAGTTTCAAGGTTTAAGTACCACATCAAGTAGTTCCTAACAATGTGGGACTCTTAACATTGTCACTTCTTTTAAGAACCAACCATCACAATGACTTCCACTCTATTTATATTGACCTGGTAGCAATCCTTTTCTCTTTAAGACAGTTTCACTCATTTTTCAAAATTCAACTTGCTCCTCTATACATCTTATAGATAATCTTTTCCATAACTCAACACTTAATGAAAGCACCAACTGATAGAACTTAAACACAACAAAGAGTTCAACCCAAAGAGACAATTCTATCAGCAGGGAGAACATCAAGGCTTAAGTACCACACAAAAGCACCTTTTTTAAAAAAAAATTATTTACTTCGCAATATTTCATCATCCTCTCCGTGTTTGTTTTTTATATGTACAACTATTTGTCTCTGCACTTCGCAATTCTGTAATTCTCGCTTTACCAAAACCGCACATCAGTGACAACTTTCCCACAACATACAGAACAATTCCCCCTACAATTAAGACTTTCAAAATTTGAACGATGTTGAACAGCTCAAGAGACAATGCAACTTCAAACATAATAACAAAATTCACATTGCCGCTAGAACAGATTCAATCGACTATTCTTAAGAGTTCATAACAAGCCATCGATGACAAGATCTACCTACATATGTTCAATAATTAACTCCAACACAATGCGCGACACTAACTCGCTCGCTATTGCAAAGCACAACGGTTAAAGCTGAATCAATGCATAAAAATCCACAGTCCGCAGTAAACGTAAAATAGAACCGAAGACGAACATCACTGAGTTGACTGAAATAGATTTCCGAACAACGAATAAACGAAACGAGAAAAGAGTTAAACGAACCAGATCAATGAGCGCAGCGGCTTTCTCGTAGTTGGAACCGTAGGTTATAGCGTCGGAACGCCGGAACAGTCCTCGCCGGCGGGAGCTGAGGCCACTGCTTTCGCCTCTCAGCAGAGACTGGTCCATCTTCTGGAGAGAAGAGAACAACGAAGAGAGAGAGAACAGGGAAAGGATGAGTGATGCGCGCTGAAAACAGTATTACAACCGTTTCATCTTTTATTATATACACAGTTGAAGAATGCTTTATGGATCACACTCTTGTCACACGGAAAGAATGGTCCCAACGAAATAACGACCAAATTGAAGAGTAGATTTCTAGTTTTTGTATTTGAATATGTGATCATATCATTGGAGTGTTACTACATCCATGATTCAGATCCAAGGTATTCTCGCGTGCCAACATCAACACTGGATAACGTACCATTCAAAGTCAAAGAACTTCAATTCATTCACACCTTCTCTGTCCTTTTGTATCGGCCATTTACTAGCATGTTTGAATTTTGGTTATTCCTCATTCTTTTGTTACATAGAAATAGAAATAAATTTCTTTAGTTGAATTTGTATATTCATTTTCACAATGAAAGTTCACACGTTATTTAATTTTAAAATGAAACTGTCTCTGTCTTTCGTTATCATAATGTCTGGAGTCACCTGTTGAGTGTTAATGGCTGAATGGAGACACCTGTCCCAAACGTATCATTAGATGACACTTGGAAAGTTAAATTCGAGTTTCATCACTGGAAATGGATTTAGTAATGGATTTCATAATTTGTAATTCAATATAATTTATAATTAAAATTAATTTCACTAATTAGAGTTTTTAGATAGTGTATTAAAGTTTTAGATTGGGATGAAGTATATGCCTTATTATAATTCTAATTGTGAGCACGATTTAAAGATGATATTGTTTTATTTATTTATAGTCTACGACGTGGGAAGACATTAAATAAAAATAAAATAAAAAATAGTTGCCACGAGTCACATGCTGTCACAACTTGTCTGCGCTCTGCACATGTCATGAGGGTTGTTGAAAGTGAAATCTTCCATAGTTGAAGTAGAACAATCTGCTTCCATGCTTATACATATACATTCATATACATAAATAAATACATATATATACATATATATA